GAATGTCGTAGCTCTACGGACGGTTTGGGCCCAGATAACCTGGTGGACAGGACCATAAATAGTCATTTCACCTTTGTGTTATGATAAGAGTGTTCAACTCTTAAATATGTGAAGAATCGGACCCATTGGTAACATGATGTTAATAAATTTACAGAAGAAGCAGTTAAAATGTAAACATCACCGGACGGTATTTATAAGTGTACAATAGGCAAATATCAAATGTTCCCACATTCTGTGCCTCTAGTTTTGTTGATATGAATATAATTTCCCAAATGAGTGTGGTGCAAGCGGTTCTTCACCACGACATACAGTTAGTTCCAGCAGGATCGAGTTTAAATGTTTGCGCATGCCGGTTTGCTGTGCTTGAAGATCTTTCGCGGATACTTCCTGTGCCCCCAGTGGGGAATGTATGTGGGGAAGACACCAGTGGTAGCGCTGAATGTATTTGTATACAGATTCTGCTTTACATCACTTTACCTGAAAGACTGCACACATTTGATGAAAATGTTCGTGACAGAAACCATCACTCGGATGAAAGCAGCATGTGGTTTCGGTTTAAATTAGGTGTCTGTCAGAGCAGATAAGAACACATTTCATGATATGAACAATGCTAGTAACACAGGTGTAATGACGTTCTGTGTTACAAGACCCCTACCGTCGTGTACATCAGTATTTATTGGTACATACTCGCCTTACGAATTGACTGTCAGTCATCAGTATAGTCACATTTAGAGATGTCTTTTCTTTAAGATGCATTATATACCACGTGGTGCATTGTTCTGAATTTGATCGATCTTGTAACAGTAAACAGATCACGCATACTGGACTTGTCTCCCTTGGCGAAACCAGTTTGTCTTCGCTGAGAGTAACTTTAAGATATCCTATATTGGGAACATATTTCGTGTACAAGTTACCCGTATTAATGGTTAATGTATATTTACAGTTATTGGTGTGTGTTAATAGTGATAAACATTTGTGTAATGATTACTTGACCATTCGCATTACTTGAACAGCGTGATTTGTATGTCTTGTATAATATACACAATTTCCAATCCTTTAATTTTAATTAACAGGATAATGAAAACATGACACATACACGGCACCATAGAGGAACCGAACTGGTCATGCTTAATATTAAATTTGAAACTTCATTAGCACGTTTGATTTAGACTTATTCATCTCCTAAAAACATATTTATCCCTTAGTAACATTAAGATTGAGTGAGTAAGTTTACTTTTACGACGCACTCAGCAGTTTTCCAGCTATATGGTGGCGGACTGTAAATTATCCAGTCTGGACCAGACAATCCAGTGATCAACAGCATGAGGATCGATCTACGCATTTGGGAACCGATTACATGTGTCAACCATGTCAGCTCGCCTGGCCACCCGATCCCATTAGTCGCCTCTTACGACAAGCATGGATTACTGAAGATCAGTTCTAACCCGGAAGTTAACGGGTGGTAACATTAAGACACGTGAGAGAGACACACGATAGGGAAACACCCGATCCACTGCTAAGTGACATCAAAATATAACCGCTCGTAAAGTGTCAACTCTGGTTCATGTTAATTGATTAGTAAAACAACAAACTGACCACAAATTGCAAATACACTCGTGCCAATAATGGTTGTCACCCCCCTCCCCACCCCAACCCCACACACCCACCCACACCCTCCAATTAAATAAATTGAAGGGGTGAGAACCATTATTGGCATGAGTATATAATGTCAGTAGTGTCAGCAGACAGTGTATGACCTTTCTAAAGTTCTTTCATAGTGAGGAGTGAGTGAGTGAGTGAGTATGGTTTTACGTCGCTTTTAACAATATTCCAGCAATATCACGGCGGGGGACACCAGAAAGGGGCTTCAGACATTGTACCCATGTAGCGAATCGAACCCGGGTCTTCGGCATAACGAGCGGACGCTTTAAACACAAGGCTACCACATCGCCCTCTTTCATAGAATATAGTAATAGATTCTGTGTTAAAATCGATGTGGTAAAAAGGCTAGGTGATTTGTGTAACATCGCACCCTGAGGCCAAAACAGTAAATACTTTCAGCCAAAGTTTTTTTAAAGACGTTAGTCAGAAATGCGTTCTTTCCTTCACATACTTACACTGATGTTAAGTTTAGCCACACAAACGTCCATTTTATTAAGACGTGCTTTGCTGTTTAGTCGGGTTAACACACTTAGTACGTAGCGCTGTGAAGTCAGGTTTTCAGTTTGGATTCGGTGTAGTGTTTATTCGGGGCTACGGATGTGACACGCAGTTCGTAGCGCTGTGAAGTTGAGAATTATGGTTGGGATACGTTGTAGTATTTATTCGGGTTTAGCTTGTGACACGCAGTTCGTAGCTCTGTGAAGTTGAGAATAATGGTTTGGATACGTTGTAGTGTTTATTCGGGTTTAGCTTGGGACACGCAGTTCGTAGCGCTGTGAAGTTGAGAATTATGGTTGGGATACGTTGTAGTATTTATTCGGGTTTAGCTTGGGACACGCAGTTCGTAGCGCTGTGAAGTTGAGAATTATGGTTGGCATACGTTGTAGTGTTTATTCGGGGTAAGGAATAATACACGTTGCGCTGTGAAGTTGAGGGTTATGGTTTGGACACGTTGTGTTTATTCGGGTTTGGCATAAGACACGTAGGGCTGTGACGTTGAGGTTATCGTTTGGACACGTTGTGTTTATTCGGGATTGGCATAAACCACGTAGCGCTGTGACGTTGAGGTTATGATTAGGACACGTGGTGTTTAATCGGTGTTGGTGGTCACTGAATGTTGTATCTAATATACTGCTTTCATCAATAATGTATGAAATTGTATAGTACCCCAACACCATTTAGAAATATTTGTAAACTCTTTTGTCAATATTCTTTGAAAGAAAATTCAACAACTGCGGTGTCAGTTACGTTACTATTGATTTAATATGTTGCTAAGATATTCATTTACATGATGTTAAACAGCTTAAAATCGACATTAGAGATCACAAAATCGCCATAGGAAGGCTTTTATCAACTCGGATCACGTCCACACGTTGTTTGAACTGCACTGAGGCATGCCATTTCATGAACATGATGCACTTTTGCTTATTGTCTCTTCCATTACATTACCAGATAACATGTTTGTTTAAGTGTAACCAAACATGTGAAAACGTGTTTTGTGCATACGCAATGTACTTCGTTCCTTTAATTTCACAGGTGTTTCATGAATATTAATATATACAGAGACATCTTGTCTTCACGCATGGCGTGTGCTCCCATGCCGTTAAATGCAAAACCTGTTTTCGAACACCTGGCGGCAATGTGTTCATTAGAGAGTGCTGTGTAACGGTATTTTAATTTTTGCAAAATCGATTTGTGGAACATTTTCTGCGGCGCGATGCCTAATAACGTCATCAGTATAGAAATTATACGACATACACACTTCATAATGATGTCGTGAAAAATGACACTATACAACGTACACACTAAACGTCGCTGTCGCAAAAAATGAAACCATACGGCATACATACTTAACAACGCCATCGCCAGAGAATACATCCTGCGGCATACGCGCTTAAAACAACTTACATAATTACAAATGTCGTAGTATATGGCAGACTTGCCAAAGTAGTACAACTAGTATTATTAGTATATAACATATACACCGACCAAAAATATAGGTTCTTGTGGCATAGATGGTAGATGTATGTTTTTCGATCCTGTTGAAACGCAGTAGCATTTGTTGTACCTGAAGTATCCTGGACAGTGCTCTACACGGTGAACAAACAATGAAATTAGCTATCTGAATATTTGTTCTTGTTACCATGTTATTCCTACCTACCGCAAGACTCGACAGCTTGGAACGTTGACTCGTATTCTCACAATCAAGACAAGCTAGTGACTTATAAATGTTGTCTTCTAATTTTACGGAGCGTTGTAAACTGAGCAAATAATTACACAATTTAAACTCGAGTGTCCTTGCGAGCCTGAAAGGGACCCTTAATTTGGTTTAGGCACCCCGTAATTCAACTGGGCACCAGGAGCTGCCAAACACAACGATAAAGCCTGAATACGCCGAATATTTGGCTCAGTTAGTCCCCGCGTTTCCATGGTTGCTTTTATTTTGGCGTCATACTCGTTCAGGAAATGTAATTGTACTTTATTCCTAATTTCAAAATCCCTATTTCACCCCCTTTAACACCATTAACACTTTCGCTTTCTATTTTACGACATTAAATGAAATAGACACGGCATCCTCCGAGGTCTAGAGATATAATAATGTGATTAAACCTTCCGATTAACATTTACCAACAAAAACAATCTTACCTGCATTTAACAAGGGATAAGAACATGATACAAATGCACGAAATGTACTATTATTAGACCAATAGACACGCAATAGTCTCTTCAAAGGCTTCACCAGCCATCAAGTCTAAACCGTATGCAAATTTCGATTTTTGGTTACATTCGTTTTATTCCAAGCCTTATCTTGCTGGGCCAAGACAGAGACATTTTTCCATTAGTCAGAATTTCCTTCAAGTTTGTTCTCTGGGGAAATATACTGACATAGCTAAGTGAGAATATCAAGAACAAACTTATAAGTGGAATAATGGAATTGAGGGCACAATTTGACGCCTATCCAGGACACATGTCAGATAGTAGAAATACGAATACTTTTAGTGTCAATTCGTGTATTATTCGTAAAGATAGTTGAGAATGTTTCGATAATGTCAGCTCAGCATGGTTGTGTAAGAGAGATCCACTCCCATCCCTCGTGGCCGTAGACGGCTAATATAAAACATTTTTCAGTAAAACTAATTTTATATGTATCATATACTTTTCATACAAGTTGATAATGTGTTAATTATTCTAATGTCCTTGCGCGACTCGGCTTCAATTATCTCTCCCATAGACAGACTGGCATTTACGTCTTATATTAACACTCATGAAATTCCTTACGCAAAAAAAATTAAAGAATCTTTAAACAAAACGAAATTTTCTCAATTTTCCAAACCTACCTCTCAGCGAGATATTTTTCTAGAAGAGCACGAAAATTCCCTGGACTGTTTGTATTTTTCATGGTCCGTCTCCTCGAGTCATCTTTAGGATATCCAAAAACACCAAAACCCTCGGAATCCAACTCAAGAAAGTTTTCTTCTTTCGAGTCGCCCATGGAGTCTGTTAAAAGAGCAGAGTCTGGGGAGGGAACCACTCGCTTTCCGGCAAAGTGAAAGCCGTTACATTTACACACGTTGCCACCTTTTCCTCTAGCGCAGTTTGAGGCACAGAATCCTTTCAAACTAAATCCGTGTGTAGTAATAACTATGCATGTGACAAATAGCACGGCAAGCATGTACAGAGCTGGTGTGGACGCCATTTGGATGACAAGGACCGAGAAAAGTCAAAGAGTCCGGCGTGGCTCCCGGAGCTCCGGTAAAAACCGCTAGTCTTTTTCCTGTCACTCTTTCTAGCACAAAGAAGTATTTGGCTGAACTTTAAAAGATATCACAGTACCTATAAAGACGTTTCTTTGAGAGTCCGTCACCCGCCGGAAAGTTTTGTCAAGTGACTATTGAGTCGGGATTGTCGTCTGGCAGGCAAGATGTATCCCAGAGTTCACCGCGCCTGATCTAACTGGCTTCACCTCACCTGTCTCCCTGTCACGAGGGTCGTCAGTCTGGAAAGAAAATACTAAGATGATTGGTGAAAGAGTGGCAATATATAGCTGACAGCGGCCGCCCTTTGGCGTGACTCGTCGCTCAAACAAGTATCGGAACCAATTAATTACTGAGCATTGATATCGGTGATAATTGATACGGCATCAGTTTGATTAGCTCATCGCTGGAGCTTCCTGATACAGTGGGAGGCACTGCTTACGTGTTTCAGATTAATAATTAATTACTACGATAGAACCTTTGGGGAATCCAGCGTCCAAAACTTAGTCTTAAAGCGGCTGCAATCACAGTGGGAGATGGAGACGGCTTCCTTACTTTGTGCTGGCGGGCTCGCAGCGAACTGCTCGCGCACTCTTCACAGACACAATACCAGGATCAATGAAAACATCGCGTTTATGAAGCCCACTCGCGTCAAAACTTAATTCGCATATCAGTATGAAGTTGGCAATACAGATCGCCTGATTCACTACCCAGGCTCCATGATGCCACGGTGGAAGGGAAACATGACCGATCACAAGGTTCGCGTGAAGCACTTGAGTTACTCATCGCCCAGTGTTGCTCATATCACATGTGACTAATCACCGTCTTGTGTAATTCAAAGTAAATATAACAATGTCATCAAAGATAATGCCATTGATCGTAGTAAATCATATAACAGGTGTTCGCGTTCAAATCTAAAGTCTGAAACACAACCAACATGATGAATAAGTATGTCGCTATCTCAGTTACTTTAGTATTGTCTTACCATGATTTGATATTCAACATTCAATTTTATAGACATCACAAACTTGATATATAAATAATATATTGTTAGATCATTCGGAAATGTCAGACCGAGTCAATTGTGACTGACATGACTGTTTCAGTTGTAGTTTATGTTTTTGAAAATCATTTCAAATAATTTTTAATTACTTATTAATCATAATGGATGTCTTACGTATTTTTTTTTTATATTTGACATTGTTGTCGAATGTATATCAGCTGTATATTAGAATGTTGGTTTTGAAAAAAAGCCAACCGTGTTGAAAAATAAAAACGTAAGATACAGCTCTGAGGTCAATATGGTCAACACGTGCATTACAAAGTAGACATGGGCAATGAGCAATGAGTACCGCAGTCCACATATTACCTTTGTCATCATCCTAGCTGATCACGATGTGATGGTTAAAATTTGATAAATGACTGCCACTCCCTACATAACGCTGTAGGATTAACCACGGTCAGTATCTATTTTTACCTGGCGAGAGGGTGCTATTTGTAAGTAACCAAATGTATATTTCAGTGCAGGGCCATGTGTCGTCGTCATTGTATTACTGGAGGCCCTAGCCTTATCTCAGCAAGGTGCTAGCGGCACGCTATATTTGTGACTACCTTAACACATCCAGGAAGTTTTTGCACACTGAGCATGTAGTCCATGGTGGATATGTAAGTTGTACCATTATGTGCCATTACAAATACATTCTGGATCCCTCTCTCGTGCAGTGTACTTTTTGATATTGTAATGTGTCCCGAATTCACGACGAAGGTGGTTTGCAACAGAGGGTCTTGTGTTAGGGTTGTGAGACATGTGCCTTAGCACTGATCTAATAGCGTGTTTTACGTTAAATGTGTGAACTAGCAATAATGTGTACCAAGGCGCGGTGTGAACATTCAGGCAGTGTCTTTTCTTCACTGATAGTTCAATAAACTGACATAAGTCGTTTGCATGTTGATTATTCCATCCCAGCTATATCACGAATATACATGTGTGTCTATCATCTTTCATCATGCAATTACAAGCATGAAGTGTAAACATTATCTCTCCATATGGATTATGACTACACGAAAAGTGGTATGATGTAATGATTGATATTTTATTGATAAGACCATGCAGTTTGGGTTTCGGGTATGTACCCTTACACGTTCAGTAACAGAACCATTTCAATAATCAGAACAACATCGGAATGTTGGAACAAACTGTATATTCGTGTGGTTAGTCGCGAACAATGCTGGCGCCAGGGCATACTATGTTAGGAATGTGCTAGATTATTACTGAGGAACATTATTTACTATAAGGCTTCGATACGCAAATACTGCGGTATATGTCCCATTGCTGTGGCTGTCGTACCGGTGACGTCAGGAATAGTTGGTTGCGTTGTTGACCGAGGTTGGCATTTTTGCCTTACAAGAACACATATGTACAGTCGGGGGAAGCTGACTACGATAGTGTGTAACATGATACTAGTTCATCTAACAACCAAAACCAAAACAGAAGAAACCCATTCGGAATTCATATGGGATCTTGTTAAATATTTTAATAGTCATGGACGTTCTCTTGTATGTGAGTTCAACGCTTAATGGAATTATATATGAAGACATTTCCAAGTCAAACACGAATATATGTATGTGTTGCAACATCGATATGTTCTTCCCGTTGAAGGAATGTTATATCCATAGTTTGTTGGATCGTTTCATTTCTATAAGGAATTATATATAATGTCAAATACAACTCGGGTACGTGTCCATAGCAATGCTCCTCAGCAAATCCCGAGAAAATCATTTCTGTTCATGACATCATAAACAGCAAAACGTTGTTATCTCGAAGGCAACAAATTCTATATTTCAACTTGTAGGAATATTCTAGACGAAGGTAAAAAAGGCAGATGCCCCAGAAAAGAATATCATTAATGTTCAACTAAATCCATTAGACATCTAGGTATTTCAGGTCAATACATGAAACGTTACATTACATATGTATTTATTAGTGTACTTAAATTTCTATCTTAAATCTAAAGATTAGGTTGAAAAGGATAAAGGTTTCAATAAAGTAGATGTTTTTGCTATTTTTATGCATTCGCAATACGCTTTAACGGATGATCCTAAAATCGTCCATAATCTGTTCCATAAATACTGCTTTCAACAAAATATTCTTTTATATGCCTTTATATTCTTAAGTTGCACACGTCCTCCAGGACAGTAAACAATGGGTGGGAGATGGGAGCAACTCTTTGCATTGCTCATGGGGTCAGGATCATGGCCCATCGCAACTAACAGTAAGCTGCGCAATGTCCGTTTACATCCATTTCAACGAGCAGGTTAAATGGCATAGCTCAATAAATCTTTAATTATCTCCCTTGTGAAAAGTAAACACTGAGACCGTCTCCTTCCGACGTTAGCATAAATCGTTACACTTCCGCTTGCGGGTAAACGTCACAATGGCGACCTCGGCTAGTGACGTAAACTATTGACGCTGATAGCAGAGTTTGGCCGCGTCTTCCTCGCATGCTGTCTTCGCCTCACTAGTCCTTACACTTCCCAAAGAATACTTAAAGGTGGTATTAACGATCTGTTGCCGTTTATCATGCATGCCTGGGGCTTCAGTCGTTCAGCTGGCAACGTGACCATTTCCATGAATACGTTTACATCAATTTGAGTGTTTATTATTCCGAAGTACTATATCTGTTCCATCTTGAAATAGACGTGGGTGATATGTTCAATGCCTCGACCTGCGATTAGTTGCTAGTTGATATTATTTCTATATGTGATTTGATTCTGTCTCTGTTATGAGATTTGAATATCCAAAATGCGGAAAAGAAAAATTCCCCTTGCCCTTAAGACGTGCTTTGTATTTAAGTCAGAAAATATTCATTTATGTCATTAAATGTGTATCACTGATCGATCACAATCTCATTCAAGGGAAACATACTCTGAGCAACTGTCTGTGTAACATCATAGGCGACAGTGCCCAAGTACCAATGATATCAACAAGGAACGCTGTGACCCACGGCAAACTCTGATATTCTGCTCTTGTTAATTGTATGGAAAATATATACGCGTGGGAGTTTGGCACATGAAGAACTTTATAGAAATGATACTTGTAACTCATGCATATTTATATGAAAAGATATTTGTATGTTTCACTGATGGAAGAACTAACAAAGTTTTGAAGGCAAACCTGTCTGTCTAATGTGCGATGCTATCCCATGCTATGTACATTGCATGACGTTTTACACTGCCATCACTGTTTTGACATTAGTCTGTCTCAGTCCCTGAAGCACTAAATGAAGCTAGTCTAGATTTCCTCAGGTTCTGGCTCCCGTCTCACTGGGACTCCTCTTCAGTTTAAATGGGTTTATTTGTTACTATCAAAATTTTGTATATTCAGAGACTAAGCGTTAGTCTATTTTGACATATACACCCCATTATACAGCTTTTGGCAGATATTCTCTGGCACTAACGCATACGTATTATGAGCGTTAAAGGGACGTAAGCAAACCTTTTAACCTTTCGGCATTTGCTTATCACTCATCTTGAAAAGCATGGAAACGCCTTTAAATGCACTTGCCACATAATCATAAAACATTCTTTCCATTAAAAGATCTGATTTCCACATACATGTATTAATGTGCTGATGTTTAGATATTTCCATCCAGCGTGCAGGGTATTCCACTTGTAATATGCATGATTTCACCAAATCAGATGACATCGTTATTGATGTCATAGAGAACATTTCGGAGCTGGTGATATTCACGTTTGTCAAAAGCAATAAACAGGTTCATTAATGGTCTGGCATGTTGAATCTCAAAAAGGCTTTTTGATTTGATTTATGGTACATAATATAGGCAACATTTTGAATGAAAATATGTCGCTTAGGTATACCTACACACGGCAGTTCAATACAACACACACAAACACAGTTCGTATGTGTCAGTTGTTTCTTTTTCACGAAAAGAATTTTGAACAGTAACTGAATCTTTCAGCGCAAACTCGGTTGCCCACTCTTCCTAGAAGATTATAATTACTTTCGAAATGGAAAATAATATCATTGGTACAGTGTTTCTCAGTGATGACATAGATTGCGATTATTCTGTAGATCTGACACATTAGCTCTAGTTACAAAAGACGGTAACGTATAATTCGGTATACGGAAAACTTCCGCAATCAAAATGATACACTTGGTTGGTATACATCCGTTGATATATAACAGTACACCATTAGCACATTCGTTCATTCCATCCCCATAAAAATCCATTTTCTTCACTACGTTAATTAAGATATCTGCGATGAATACGAGTGAACGTTCATGAAAATGTCTAAATACCAGCTTGTTCCCACGTGTGCAGTCGCGGGCCCAAACAATCAAGACTAGAGAAACCATGCTGTGGATTACATGGGTACAAGTCCCGA